AAGATATGGAGGAAGAGATGTGCGACGAGGAACGCTATCGTGACTTGAATAGCTCAGTGGAACAAAAAAGTTAGTTGCTATCTGTGCCTTTTCCATAATTTAGTCTTATGTTCAGTAGAAGAGGAAAAACAAAGTCGCCCGAAAAAAGCTGAAACTGCATTTGATTATGGAACAAGTACTGTCAGCGGTGATGGTGATGGCGGACCTGCTGCCGAAGATAGTTACAGTGAAACAGAGCCTTTCGAACCTCCTGCCGGCATAAAGTTGCCAATGGGATTGGCTTTGGTATGTTTTTTAGTAACTGTGAATGTCCAAAACATATGTAAGTAGTTCAGCTTTGATGTAGACATTTTCATATGATTTTGGCTTTTGAGATCGAAATTTCAATAAGATTGAGTGCAGGTTTAAAACTCATACTGCTGCTATGGTGTCAGAGTGGAGAGGGAAGTGGAGGGAAAAGTTTGTTCTCTTTTTGAATAGCAACAGGCATTCAATCAAAATGCGACTGTGATCAAAATGATCACAGTTGATCAAAATGGTTTAAACCTGCACTCAATCTTATTGAAATTTTGAATGAATGCCTATGCGCGACTTATCGGTCATTGTGAATGTTTCCACCTTTCGGAACAATATGCACCATGTGGACCGTTTTGATATAAGTTTGAGATTACTGCAAATGATAAAGAAGGATGAATCTGCCCTTCCTCACCCTTTTTGCCAAAATTGACCACATCTGTTTTACCTTACATTTTTTCAGCCCGAGAATCAAAAGCAGAACCATATAATTGAGAGGACCGCATTATTTGTCGTCACGAAAGGGCCGCAAATGGATATAGTAATGAAAGCCAAACAGAGGAATAGCACTGAGCAGGTTTGTTTGCTGTCTTCTCATCAAGTACTGAAGACTTAACAGACGAACTTTTCAGTTTGGATTTCTTGATTTTGACCATGTTCATCCATACTACAAGTACCCGTCCAAGCTTATTCGAGAAAAGAAGTATACGCCGAATTTTACCAAGAAAACAAACCGGAGTGTGAACGAAAGGATCAAATTTACGACTATATAGGCTGTATCAGCCGGCATCGGTCTCGCAATGGTGAGACCGCATTATTGAGCGGACCGCATTAAAGAACGCCGCCTTGCGAGGCAGGCGGCGTTCTTTAATGTGCAGCTGAGTT